AGTTTTGTGAACTCTTTGATTAATTTCATCACGTTAAAGAAGTTCTTTAAAAATGAACAAACCAGTTCTGCTTCGGCATTAATCCTAGCAGTAATGTGTGCAGCTGAGGTGGAGTAAACATGAATGTGTTCTGTGTGTAGATTTGATATAACAGAAGTGCAGATCTGTCTAGCAGGAATACAGCTGCTCACAACCAGTGTCGGTCCCTCTCTGTGGAACGTCATGGTAAACCTCCTGGCTGCTGCCTGCATGGCTCACTGCTGTCTGCCTCCACAACGGCTGCTGACCTGCATGGACTCACACGGAGAGTTGATTCTTAATCTGCGACGTGCACAGATGAAACCTTTTTAAATGAAGCGTGTTTTGTGCCAAACAAGYGGCTCCGTGTTCAGCATTGTGTTGTGGAGGAAGGCTGTGGGATGACGATGTGCTGGTAGATGTTTTTTTTTTAAACTAATCCTCCTCACTATAAATTGTCTGCTTTCTCCTCCCACTCAGCATTGATGTGACTGAGGTGCAAATCTTCATTATAATTATGTATTTGCTGGCCGCCGTGGGAGGATCTGCTTTTTGGCAGTCACTGGTAATTCTGATCGGTTCTAATTCCTACAGATTGACTTAATAAGAATGATGTCATAGATGTGTGTTAATAATCCTGACGATTTCTGAAGCACATGTAATACTGCTCTAGCAGCTTTGTTTGTACTGTTTGACGCAAAAATACAGACGCAGATAAGTTTGTTTGTACCTTTCATTAAAGAAAGAAAAACCCGCAGACAATGAATTAACTCATTGCTTTAGAATTTGGGCTCAGCAGTTATGTTTTTTAAAATGCTGATAGCTGCCTTAACAAGCAGGATGGTACCCTCAATATTTAGTTGCACAACATTTTGAAGCAATCCTTGTAATCAAGCAATTCCTGTAAGTCTGTTACGTTTTCTAGTTTGCAGAAATGTTTTATTTACAATTTAATTAAAAAATGTCAGCAACCGGAGACTTGTTCATCCGGCCTTACATGTTGGAGCCAGAGTCTGATCAGAACCAGAGGAGAATTGCGAGAAATTATAATTACGTCCAGACATAATATGGCAGTTCCGTTGCAGATAATTTGACATAATAGACTCAGAAAACGTCGTGAAAAATAGAGAAAACTGAACGAGCTGAAAAATCTGATCCAAACAGAATATAAAGATATCTTTGCAGCACCAGGAGAAACTAAATTCAACTTTTCTGCCTCTTAGAGACTCCAAGTTCACAACAAAATGTATTCAACAGCTAAAAAGCTGGATTTTGCAGATATGTTCCCTTTTTTTAAGAGACAGCCTCAAAACGAGTTGATCTGAGACACTTTTGGGGCTTGTGGAGTTACAAGGAGGCATTCAGACCAAAGTATTTAAGTTCCATTCTATATAGACCCCAACTGAATGATTTAAATATGATAAAAGGATTTAAAAACATCTTTGACTAACATGTTTTAAACACTGTATTATATTCCTACAGAAAATTAAACTTTTCTACAAACTGTTGACGACAACACACACACACACACACACACACACACACACACACAAAATCCTATGCGTCATCCGTTCTGGAAGTAAAATGTTCATAAGCCCCTCAGAATTGTAATACTGTTATAAAAGTATTGTGAATAGACGGTTTCTCCCCCTTATTCTAAACATAAAATTCACTGGGTGCCAGTTCGTTAGTAACTTTTAGAGATGAAATGGTTTCATACAGCTGCAGTCATTTTAAATAAAAGTTAAACAAAACTAAATAAACTGACTCTAATAACTTTTTAAGCATTTTTTTATTTAAACAAACCAGACATATTTGTAGCCCCTGGGTGCTGCTAAGCTCGTCTTTTAAACCTGCCATGATGTAAACAAGATATTTTAGCACGTAGTTGAGAAGAGGATTGTTTATTATTCTGAGCTTACTCAGAATTGAGACAGTTAAATTAAGCCATTCATATACACTGTAAAAAATGAAATGTTGGATTTACTTAACCATGTTATGTTACCTGGTTCCTCTTAAC